GAGATGCGCTGAAGAGTTGGGGGGGGAATTAGGGCAGTTCTTTTTTTTTTGTTTTAAAATGTAGGTTTGGATGGTGTCTGAATTCTGAAACCAAAAGGACACCTGCAACTGGAACCACTCCGCTGGCGTTTTGCCCCTGGATCTCATCTCTGGCTGGTCCGACGGCCGCTTAAAGGCGTCGCTTAAAGCGCCGCCCTGGCGACGGCGCGGTGACCGCGCGAAGTTGTACAGCCTTTGCAGCCGATCAAAAAGTTGCCCACCAAGTAGCCACGTGTGCTCAAAACTCTTTCGTAGATGGAAGGTAAGGGAGACTCTTGCCAGAAATAGTTGCGGATGTCCGCCTTCTTAGTTGTTATCCGCCTTCTTAGTTCTTGAAGCATGGTTCTTGGTAGACCATTTTAATAACGGGTTTTGATTGTGACTCAAGTGGCACGAAGGGCGAGTTTTCACAGCTACTGAGCGCTTTCGGGTCTGCCGGGGCAGGCAGGCGGAGGGACCGGGTCCGGGAGAAATCCTCGGGAAAGGGTGTCATTCTTTGGTGCATTTTGCCAATTAAACCACTAATAGTTAAACTTTTGGCAGGGGAGCAGAAAGCAACCGACTTTTGCTGTTGGTTTGATGAGTGCCCTGCTTTGATCTCAAATGGGCTCAGTGGGATAGAAGAAGCCTCTGTAGCACGGAGGTGCACTGGGTGGTTTCCCGTTTCCTGTGTTTGGATGTCACGTGGGGGCTAAACACATTTTAATATGTTGCTCCTATCTATGGGCCAGCTTGCATACCCCAATTGGACATACACCAAAACCAGTGGACCGCCTTTGCATTCCACGGCACAAACCACGACTTCTTTGTGGTCCTGCAAGAGGAGGCCTTGCCATAGCGACCAACGCAACCCGAGCCTTGAACTGGCTCCAGGGCAAGTTTACGGCATTCGCGACGATGAGAAGCTACAGACAATCCCACACTGAGCTGTCTGCAAGCGCCGGCACTTTTTGGTTTGTGGTTGGGTAGGTTGTTTGAAGGTACCCGCGCCTGGCGGTTCTTAAAAGAGCAAAAGTGGAACCACTTTTGGAGGTTTACGGATGCAGGCTCTGCTTTTTTTGATCCCGACAAATTAGTTCTCAATCCCAAGGGTTCCGCGGCCCAATCTGCGGACGCACGCGACGGCCCCTGCTTCGGCCAAATCGTTTGGTTTCGCCGTCCCATGGCGACGTGCGTGGAGAGCCCTCCAGCTAGGCCGGAGCTTGAAATTGCTCCCAGAAACGTCTGGTATTTGCCCAATGGTTCGGATAACCTCCCCTGTGTTTGCTTTTGCAGTCATTGAACCCCACACACTCTCGCTTGCAACTTCGGCTCAAGGGTCCCTTCTCTTTTCACACTCAGTATTTGACCGATTGTTCGGATGTGAATCCCCCTGTTAGCGTCGGACTAATACCCCCCCCCTCCCCGCCCGAAATTGGTATGCGGGAGAAGGTAGTTGTCCGAAATTGACATCATTATATTTTTGGTATGTTTTTTCTTCTTCTTTTTTTCGGGCGCTGCAGGAGGCCCGTGTCAGAGTTTAGAGATTGTGTAGTCTTGGATTTCGAACACTCGCCTTAGTCAGTGGTATGTATTGATCTATGCTAACATGATCATGCATGTTTGATTTTAATTAAAAGGTGGGCCTCCAGAATTCCGCGAGTCTGACATTAAGCACCAAAGATGCAGCGGGTGGCTCTGCGAGCAAGGCTTTAAGCGTCGTCGCCGTTGTCAGCAATTGTTGGATTTAATGTTCTGTCTCGCATGTTGCTGTTTGCTTGCTTGCTTGCTTTTTTGTTTTTTGCTTGCTTGCTTGCTTGCTTGCTTGCTTGCTTGCTTGCTTGCTTGCTTGCTTGCTTGCTTGCTTGCTTGCTTGCTTGCTTGCTTGCTTGCTTGCTTGCTTGCTTGCTTGCTTGCTTGCTTGCTTGCTTGCTTGCTTGCTTTTTTTGTTTTTTTTTGCTTGCTTGCTTGCTTGCTTGCTTGCTTGCGTGCTTGCTTTTTTACTTTTTTGCTTGCTTGCTTGCTTGCTTGCTTGCTTGCTTGCTTGCTTGCTTGCTTGCTTGCTTGCTTGCTTGCTTGCTTGCTTGCTTGCTTGCTCCCTTGCAATTTAGTCAGTCAGTCAGTCAGTCAGTCAGTCAGCCAGCCAGCCAGCCAGCCAGTCAGTCAGTCAGTCAGTCAGGCAATTATAGTCAGTTAGTTAGTTAGTTAGTTTGTTTGTTTGTTTGTTTGTTTGTTTGTTTGTTGGTTTGTTGTTTCGTCGGTTTGTTTGCTTGCTTTCTTGTTTGTTTGTTTGTTTGTTTGTTTGTTTGTTTGATTGTTATTTGTTTGTTTGTTGCTTCGTTGGTTTGCTTGCTTGCTTGCTTGTTTGTTTGTTTGTTTGTTTGTTTGATTGTTACTTGTTTGTTTGTTTGTTTGTTTGTTTGTTTGTGTGATTAGCCATGGTTCATATCATCATCAGGGACGTCGCGTTAGTGACCGACCTGTGGTGTTTTGGCTCAAGTTTTGGGTTCCGTCGCGCCTCGAATGGGCGTCGCCGAACCCCTGCGTCGACCGACGGCATCTCGGGGGAGAAAGAGACCTCGGGCCGCCGCCAGGTTGGTAGGGACCAGTCGTGCGGCCTGTTGTCGACCAAGGTTGCGGGTTAACCCTTTTCTTGTTTGGTTTGTTTTCCTTTGGTTGTTGTTCTCTGGTGTGTGGGAAACCCTGATCTTTGGGACCGGGGATTGGTTTGCTTTTGGGGAACCTTTCTTTTGTGGCTTGTTTACCCCAACTTACCCATTGCCTGGGCACAGGCTCGTGCCCGAATCACAGGTTATCAGCCGTAGGACTTTCCTACGCGCTTGAGACCATCAACTACAAGCTCTATGTCGACCCCACGATCTCGAAGGAGCGTCGTGGATGAGGAGGCCATCCTAGGTGGCCTCCGCTCAGGTGAGGACCTACCGGACTATGACTACGAGGATTTCGAAGCAGGTTCGACAGGTCAGGACCGCAGGGGTGAAGATCCCGGTAGGGATACACCCAGGAGCCGTGGCAGGTACGCCGACGATGGAGACGATCGTATTTTCCGCCAGGCCACTGATGACGAGCAGACACGAAGGGTTTACTCCGATAGGAGTGGCTCTGAATCAGGTCACAGGCGTGGACATTTTGACTTCATCAGCATGGCGATGGACATGGCCCGCCCTCATTCGGATGACCCGGAGGCCATGCCGATTCGACCTCCGAGATCTCTTGTTCCAGGTGAGTCGCAGGTCTCGGATGAGTTTGAGAGTAGGCCGCAGGGACCAGGGACTATGGTTCTGGTTCCGGGAGGTATCCCGGGCCGATCCACTGGTTCTCAGAATCCAGGTCAGTTTGATGAGCACGAGGAGCGGAAGTTCTCAGACTTCGGATACGATGATCTGTTGAAATCAACCGCAGGTTGGGGCAGTAGCTCAAAGCAGGGATCTGATGCCGGTAGGCCCAACCCTAATACTGCCAAATCTGAGTCTTATGATGGCGAAGGTTACAATTTTGCGGATGAGGAGGAGAGCCATTCGCGCCGAGATGCAGGCAGCCGTGCGACTGCAAGGACTAGTCCCGCCGCTGCCAAGTTTGAGGTCGACGATGATGACGAGTATGCCGCATTTGCGGATCGCCGTGATGAGGAGGAGGACCAACCACGACGAAATGCTAGGATCCGTGATGCTGCGAGGCCCAGGAGCCTCTCTCGTGGAGCCGCCAGGGACCTTCGCGTTGACAGGGATGCCCGAAGCGAGAGAGAGAGAGCCAGGGACAGTCGGGAAGTTCTTCGGGGATTGGAGGCCATCCATGACCGTGAGGGACCGGTAGGTCCCCCGGCGATTGGTGACACCCCGAATGTTCCCCCTTTTCCCAACATTACTTTTGGAGGTCCGTTAAATCAGAGAGACGTGAACTCGAACCGGGTTACTGGTTCGCCGAGGTCACTGAGCGGGTTGCCGATGTCGTTGGGAGAGGTGCAAGAGATGGCCGGCTTGCCGATGCACTCGGAATCGAGGATCGTCCGTCGATCGCTAGCCCGTTAGGGCGAGATACCAGTGACCTTGAAACGCTAAGGTCAGCAACGAGTTCACACCTCAATGGGGCTCGACCGCCAGGGAACGTAGTGCTTCTGCGAAGAGACCGTCACCCCTGGCCATTGAGACCGAGGTACGAGTTCACACCTCAAGGACCGCCAGGAGGGCTAGTCACCCCTGGCCACCAATGGCTAGCCCCTCAACTCCGCAGGATGAGGAGATGCCTGATCCTGCTGATGTTCACATCCACTCTACTCCCGAGTCTCGTGCGTCCCATGTTGATCCCCGTTCCGGCGATAGCCGTAGAAGGGGGTCTACCCCTAGCAGGCCATCTGGGGTTGGTGATAGTCCTGTGGATGACCCCAGAAGATATGCTAGAGCTAGTGGGGCTCCTGAGAGGATCGAGATATCGACTCCTCCAGCACTCAGGTCTCATTCTTCCGGTGAATCAGGTGACGCTAGGGCAAAGGAGGTGTTCGATTTGCACATCCAGGAGATGCTCGAGAGAGGTGAGGTTTCTGGCTCAGTCGCGAAAGCTTTCCATATTTTTGCTGACCAGATCAGGTTACTGAACGGTCAAGTGAGTTCCATGCGAAGGGAATGGAGCGACGAGAATCAACAGACGAAGGACAAGGTCGATCGACTGGCAGCTGAGGTTGCGACTCAATCTGATGCCGGGAGGATGCGAATGATAGTTCAACGGTTCGCAAGGGAAGTTATTCCCGATAGCAAGGCCATTGTGAGGCAAGCCATTGATGAGCAAGCCGAGGTCGTGGAGCAGAGGATTAACCTACTGTCCCACGAGGTCCATGAATCTGTCAGGGACAATGAGGCATCGACTGATCGGCTTCGCCTGATGATTCAGGAGAATAGTGAGGCTGCCCGCAGAAGCCATGCTGCTTCTGAGGACGAGATCCTTAAGGATTTGGACAAGCTTGAGAA